TGGGCTTAAATGTAGCAAGGGAGGTTTAGGTTGGGTATTAGGAAAAACATCCTAACTGTCAGGGTAGTTAAGCACTGGAATAAATCGCCTAGGGAGGCTGTGGAATCTTCATCACTGGAGATTTTTAAGAACAGGTTAGACAAACACCTGTCAAGAGTGTTCTAGTTATTACGTAGTCCTGCCTTTACTTCAGGGGCCTGGACTAGATGACTTTTTGAGGTCCCTTCCAGTTTTATGATTGACAGTTATAAGTGGCCCAGAAACACAGTATTAGGTAGGGATATAAAATGTTAACCGGTAAGCATTAGGCTTACCAGTTAACTGACCTTAACTGTTAACCCCCAGTCATGTGGCACCGGCAGGCCACTGGCTCCCCGGCTACACCTGTCCCTGTCCCTGCCCCACCGGCCGGCCAGCCGACCCCAGTCCCATGTCCAGCTGACTGACCCCAGCCCCCACCTTGCCGGCCAGAGCAACCCCAGCCCCTCTCCCTTTAATCAGTTAACCGTTTAAATGATATTTTAATTGTTTAAACGATTAATTTTTTAACAATATTTACATCCCTAATAGCAAGTAGGGTGCAGATTTATATTAAGATACATCCCATAGAAGTAGATGCATTATGTAAGCTTCTACCTGTCTCAAACAAGTGCTCCTAATCACTCGTTCTCTTGACCATTGTACTCTGAAATACATTTTAAGAGAGCAGAGAACCTGCAAAAGGCAAAGTGGAGTAGTCTGATATTCCAGTTTTAGGACTAGAGCTGACTGCAGGGCCAAGGCATTGTGATTATACCTTGTTTTAAAAAATTATAAAGTGCTCTGCTGCACCTTAACTATAACTTGGTTTGTCAGGATTCAATCTAAATCGTTGGTCAGTAAATCTTGATTTCATCTGACACAGATATCCATGGTTAGCTGTTGGCCAACACAGCCTCCCCTGCACCAAGCGCAGAGGTGAGCAAACTACGGCCCGCGGGACCGTCCTGCCTGGCCCCTGAGCTCCTGGCTGGGCAGCTAGCCCCCGGCCCCTCCCCCACTGTTCCCTCTCCCCCGCAGCCATGCTGCCACGCGGGCAGCGCTCAGGGCGGCGGGGCTGTGTGCTCATGCAGGACAGTGCGGCAGCGTGTCCGGCTTCAGCCGGGAGGTGCGGCTCCAGACATGCTGCTCTGAGCCGCATGGTAAGGGGGCCAGAGGGTCTTGGAGGACAGTCAGGGGGCAGAGGTTTGGGGGGGGCAGGGGATGGGGAACAGGAGGGATTGGATAGGGGTTGGGGTGCCAGGGGGCGGGGGTGTGGATAGGGGGTGGGGCAGTCAGGGGACAGGGAGCAGGGGGGTTAGATGGGTGGCAGGGTCCCGGGGGGCGGCTAGGGTTCTGCGAGTGGGCGGTCAGGGGACGGGGGGGGGAGGGTTGGATGAGTGGGGGGTTCTGAGGGGGGCAGTTGGGGCGGAAAGTGGGAGGGGTCGGATAGGGGGCGGGAGCCAGGCTGTTTGGGGGGCACAGCCCTCCCTACCCAGCCCTCCATACAGTTTCGCACCCTGATGTGGCCCTCAGGCCAAAAAGTTTGCCCACCCCTGACCTAGCGCCTTCAGGGATCCCAATCTCTGCAGGCCCAAGATGTGGGGAAGGTCCTGATCCTGGTGAGGCAGAGCAGAGACCTGGACTAGGACTGTGAGGTGCAGGAAAAGGAGGAGGATGGGCCCCTGCCTTCGGGGGAGGTGATCCTGTTGCAAAATGGCTCCTGCTTGGGGATGTCCCCCCTCCCTGGCTGATAAGTGAGTGAGCAGGTATTGACAGTGGGGCTGCAGGGGGCTCCCTGCACAGCCCCGGGGCCAAAGACAGCAGTGTGGTCTTCCCCTCCGCCAGGTGATCCTGGCTTTGTCCCACCAGGATTGTGGTCTTCTCCCATCTTACTTTGTGCCTGCAGGAATTGGGTGTCACTGCCTGCAGGGAACCCCCTGCAGTACCCACTGTCCCAGTGCTGCTCACTCACTCATGGTTGGGAGTGTGGGAGTTATACTGCAACAGGGTGGCCTCCTCCGTAGCTGTGGCTTGCCCTCCTTTTAATCCTGGAGGGGTGGGGTGGGGTGTCGCTGCTCTGCTATGGTCTGCCCAGCCAAGATCTCAGCTTTTTCTGCATCTTGCACCTGCAGGGACTGGATGTCATTAAAGAATTGTCTGACCCCTCCCCACCACCTTGATTTCCCCCAACTCTGAAAATTCAAGTAGATAAAAATAAAGTAAACAAAGCCCCATAATTTCATTCAACTGAGAAAATTAAAATAAATAAAAATCAATGATATCCATTAAAATAACAAAAACAAATACTGAATTCTGCCAAGCCTAAATATAACTAGGGTACAAAGCTTGTCTAGCAAGAATATTTTACAACTGTGTAGTTTATGGTAATTCTCAATGGTTAAACTGTAGAAAATTTGAGTTAAAAGGCGCATGTTCACATTAACAGTAATAAGAACAGGAGTACTTGTGGCACCTTAGAGACTAACAAATTTATTAGAGCATAAGCTTTCGTGGGCTACATCCGAAGAAGTGGGTTGTAGCCCACGAAAGCTTATGCTCTAATAAATTTGTTAGTCTCTAAGGTGCCACAAGTACTCCTGTTCTTTTTGCGGATACAGACTAACATGGCTGCTACTCTGAAACCTGTCATTAACAGTAATGTACTTGATCTTAAAAAGTAAATGTCACAAGACTGAGAATCTCTCCTTATCACTTCAGCAAAAATTTAGAGGAACTTACAGTGTGTGTGAGTTGTACAAATAACCATGCTAACCCTTCTCTTTTTCTATTTATTGTCCATTCCACAAAATTACTTCTGCATTAGCAGAGTGGACATAAATTAATGGCTATTTGAGACATTCAGCAAATATTAATCAATTTATTTGTTTCGTTATTTTGCAGATAACTTCAGGGTTCAACAAATCATCTTTTGTTGTGTGCTTGTTACCTCTATTTCACCCCTCACTCTAGCATTCTAATCAATAAAAATTAGGATAACTTTCTGATAGGCTTAGGGCCAAATTCTATTTTAGGGTATGTAACCACTGAGTTAAATGGAAATATGTGCAAATAAAACCTTTATGCCACACTACATTATTACAGGTGGAACTGCCTACTGTTAAGGTTGCCTAGCACTTCCTATTATAAAAATAATATATGATCGTGTAATGAAAGGCTATATCATAATGGATACAGACAGTGGAGCCAAATTAAGGTTGTACAGGCAGCCTTAATTCTGGGATTTCCTAACTTCAGAGTGCTTGATTTTGCAAACTTAATAAAGTTCTTTTGACCTAGTGTTTGTGATTTATTTATATATATAATTGATATATTTTATATGTATTTATATATACTCATCAGTATCTACATATAAAAATATCAGCCAACATAATGGTAAAATATCAATTTTGAACTCTCAATTTGGTAAAAATTAAACACGATGTGTTAGGTCTTCAAATCCATATGTGGAGTCTATGTAGTAACAGAAGTCATCCTGGATCATCTAATAAGTTTTACTATTTTTCAATAAACGTTTTCTCTCTTTTTCACCTTTAATGCTCTTAATGGTAGGCTGTTTGAGTTGCTTGCTGCGGAAATAGGGAGCAGTCTTTCCCTCCTCCAGTAATTGAGGTTTAACAAAAGTATTTGAGAAAGGAAACACGTTTTTTAGGTATAATCATATATAGCGGTAGCTTCAGAGAGCAAAACCACAGTAGGAAGTCAACATAAAATCTATGAGCAGCAAAGAGAAATTAAAAAGTTTTTCAGTACACAATAAAGAGAGATGCTCAGAAATCTTTCAGAACCTGCAGAAATATATTTTCTCCATTTTGCTCTTATTCTAAGCACTGTATCTGTGTGTGTGTGTATGTGTATATTTTTTATATATATATATAAAATTAGACAGTCACTGCATCCAAAGAGCTAGAAACCACAACAAGAAGTTAAAAAAATTACTTCTGTTGAACAGTGGCTGACAATAAGGTTAAAGCATATTATCTGGATACCCAACAAAAAAAAATAAATTTTGTTGTGAGGTGCAATTCCATGTTACAAAATAAATTTTCTTTACTACTTTCATTTTATACCATTTTTATGGAAGTCAACATTGATCTAAAAACTGAACCTTCTCATCTGAACAAGTCAACAACAATACCCCCAGGTCATTTTCAAAGGTAGTTGTCTAAAGTTAAGCATCAAAACCCATAATTAGGCACCTAAATCAATAATCTGATTTTCATAAGTATGGAACCCTCCAGCTCCGATTTGACCTTAAAATAATTCCAATAAAATGTCTACCAGTTTGCTTTCTTGTGTAGGAAGGCTTGTGATGTTCTTTGTAATCTAAACCAAAAATTACATATAAGGGGAAAATAATAAGATAAATGTATAACCAATAGGCACTTTGAAATGTATCATTTAATTTTGTTTAATATGATGGTGTAGAGCATAGCTGGGAATGGTAGTCAGTTTTTATATATTTTGCCATTTCTTGAGGGATCATAAATGCCTATAATAAACTAATTTGGAAAATCCAGACATGAACTGATGTGTGCGTGCACTTGCAAATTTTTGAGACTTCCAGACTTTCTAGACTTAGTATTCTATTAGAAACCAGTCAGTCTTTCTGTGTATTTGAGGAAAAAGATCGGAAGAAAATTATCTGCTTGTCATGCGGATACAATTATTTTTGTCAATTTTTGATTTTTATTTAAAGAAAAATACTTACATAATGCATTTCTTTCCAACCCCATGAAATATTATGTCAGTTTCTTAATAAATTCCATTTTTTAATGTAGTCGATAAACATTTTCAATAGCTTACGTTATTCCATGCTTGCTTAAATGTGCTGAAATCTTGAGATCTTTGTATTCCCAGGCAGACTGCTGCCGTAAAACTTGCCTAGTTTCAATTTTGTAATATTTCTGTAGCAAGTGCTGTATGTTTACAACACTAAAAATTTCCATTTTTTAAACTAGATAAATCAGATAAATATGATTCCAGAGATGTGGAAAGATTGCAGCAAGATGATAATTGGATTGAAAATTATTTAATTTGGCGTCATGATGTTGTGGATGATACACTGAAGATGATTGATGAAAGCTTTCAGTGGAGGAAAGAATACATGGTCAACGGTAAGATGTCATTTACTGCTAATTAATATGTTGGTGATGTATGTCAGTTTCTCACTGAATTATACCTAAGGCCCTATATACAGTTTCATTAAGTACCAATGCAAATGGTTATATAAGTTCTTCTTTGTCAAGTTGACATATCGATCACTAGTTGTGCTTTATAATTTGGTGTGGCTGGGTTGTGGGCAGTGGAGTTATGCAATAGCCTACTGGGTCAAAGATAATTTGGAATTTGAAGGGGTTGGGGAGTTTGCTGGACTTCAATTCTTTGTGTGTTCCTCAGGTGCAAACCTCTACGGGAATAAAAGTTCTCCTCCTCTGGTCTGAAAATTATTCAGGAGAAGGTGGTCCATAGCTGGGAAGACGCATGCCCTGCAGGGGTCATAAGCTAATAATTCATTAGCTCCTCTACTACTGAGAGGAAAGCAGAATCTTTTCAGATTAGTAAAACTAATTAAACCTGTGAAATGTGATCATTGCAGTTATTACTGTAATGTCCAGAGGCTCCAATCAAAACAGGGTCCCTTTGTGCTGTATAAACACACAAAGACAGCGCCTGCCCCAAATAGCATACAGTCTAAATTAAGAAAAGTTGCAACAAGTGGGTGTAACAGAGTGGGGATGCAGGAGGGAGGCCAATGCTAACAAAATATTTGTAGGTCTTTTTTCCTCCAGCTATCTATAGCTACTTGGTTTTCTTCTCTCTTCCCACACAGATGCTAACCTTTTTCTAGCTTAGTTTAAAACAAAAAAGAGAAAAAATATTAGTTTGCAAATAGGTTTATCCCTTTATTTTACAATTCATTTATCTCACACATATGAAGATTATTTTGAATATGAAGTTTCTTATTCTGTTTTAAGATTAAATGGTATTTTTTAGTGACTTTTAAACAGCAAAAATAAGGATGCCTGTTTGCTTTGCAGATTTGTCTGAATCTGCCCTTCCAAAATGGTTATTTGAAAATGGTGCTCTTTACCTGCATGGATATGATAAAGAGGGCTACAAGTTATGTAAGTTACATGCACTCTTCTTTTTTCAGTTATCTATTAGTGTTTTTATATATACAATTATACATGTTCATATTGGAGACTGCTAAAATGCTGGAAGTAATTACTTATCAGGAACTACCTTTGTGGAAATAAATGAGGAAATCAAGTGAATTTTCAATGAATATCTGACATAGATCATGGGCAAATGGTTACATTTGCATTTTTCATCATGTATTGTTAAGACCTTCAGCCATGCTCGTTGAGTCCAAGAGTCTTTTACTAGAGAGGAAAAATCTTTAGTATTCATATTTTGTAGCTTGAAATTCAGCTTTCTCATTGTAGCGTTCATGATCCCCAAAAGCTCAATGTTAAGGTTACATTCAGTTTTCCTTCATAAACTTTACCTCCCATCCCAGTTTTGTAATGCAGTTGTAAAGTGTTCCATTAAAATGCAATGTTTTTATCTCTTTTGCTGCGAATATATAGCCATCTACAGGACAGCATATTGTCATTGCAATCATTTGGTACAGCTGTAACACACCATGCTTACACATACTTGAACTGGTGCACAAGTTTTCACATCACTGTTTGAATTGAACTTGTTCTGAGAAAGGCCTTGGCCCTCCATTACAGTTTACTGCCCCTATGCAATAACAGTATAGGCAACAAGCACTGGCATTGCAGATGCAATGGTGTAATTAGTTTTCCCTGTTTAATCCTCCAGTTCTCCTGACCATCTTTCCAGGTTACCTTTGACAGCCCAGAGAACTGTCTGTCATATGGCAAATCCCTTGGTTACCAGCTGCATGCAGGCCCAAGAACGCTCAAAGTACTGTAGTATCCACTCAGGTCTCAGATTTGCCTACCTCCTCCTGCCTCCCCCTCCCCAATCTCATTGAACGTAGCAGCACTTGAAGAGGTATGAACCACTCCTCCTCAACTTGTTTTAAAATAATAAAATAGGGAATGAGGCGGGCGGGGAGGGGGAAACAATTGTTTGTGCTTAATAATAGCACTTAAATGATCCCAGTTACCCATTGAAAAAAGTCAAATTACAAAGGTGATGTGTGAGGTCCCTTTTTTTTTGCTCCTATTGTATGTTTGGAAACAATTTTCTATTTATTTAGGTTAGGATGTCTGTATCTTTGCAGTGGAAAAAGATAGAGACTTCATTTAAATGAAAATATAGAATTTTCAAAATGTAGAATATAGCAAAAAAATGCAGTGAGACCTGATTGAAAATAGCAGATGAGCTTTTCTTGTCTCCTCTCTCCCATGTGTGTTGGGGACTTTTTGCAGGGTCAGTTTATTTCAGAAGTGTGTGTATCTCTATGTAAATGTAATTCTAAAAATCTACTTCATCTTTCTGTTCCTGTCAGAGTTACCTAATGACAACAGACAGTGAGAATGTTCAGTGTTGTCATACGGACATGGGATTTATTACTCTGTGCCTCCCACAGATCTCCCACTTCCTCCCGAAAAGGTGTCCAATGAGCATGCTCAGAAAGTATTTTGTAGTTAGTTAGGCTTTATTTCCCCCCAAATCAAATATAGACACTAGTTCTTAGTAAGTGTTCTAAGGTGGATTGATTTAAATCATCCATTTTAATCAATTTTTCCATTTGTACTTCAGTTATTTTCTAAAGAAAGATGCTTCTCATTGGTTGATTATAACATCTTGATTCACAATTAAATAAAGCCATTACACCAAATTTGGTGCACCTTTTTGCTACCTAGCAGGTACCCTATAACTATGTATATTTATTTAAGCAATTTATAGCTCAATATTTTCAGATTCTTATTGTTCATTTTCCATATGTTAGAAAATGATGCATGATATATTGCTTATTTGCTAGATAATTACCTTTTTGCTCATGATTTGTATCAAGTTGTGTTAGGATTGTAACTGGAATTTAAACAAACAGTATATTAATCTTTTATTTAAATGTTTTAAGATATTATAAGTATAGGCTTTAACATATTTTGTGTTAAATTCAGATTTCATTTTAAAGAGGTTTATTTTTTGAAAGAAAAACGTAGTGTAATTTAAAGACAAAAAAATCTAATTTAAATACAAAAAAAAAAATCATAGGTTTTTATCCACCCTGAAGGGGTGGATAAAAACCAAGATGCCAAGATGAAAATTTTAAGAACTGTTGGCAGTTTGCTTCAGAGGTGTGAGCCAAGTTTGGGCGTCAAGAAGTTCTAATTTTGATGCTTGCTCTAAAATGAAAGTTAGAATAGAGAATGCCTCGCAACCTTATCAATAGTGACTGTATCCAGAATCTGGTAAAATTAGTTCTTAGTGTCTGTATGACTATAGACTTTATTCAGGAAACAAATCGTGGTAGATGCAGGTTTTGTGTAGAAGCATTTGGAGAGAGAGAGAGAGAATGTGTGCTCATTTGTTGTTCACTGTACTACTAGCATTCAACTAAAAATATATATATATATATATATATATATATATATATATATATATAAAAAACTATATTTTCCCTTTTGTTCTTCTTCTATACCTTGTGTTCTGTATGAAAATACCAGATTCAAAAAGATCATTATTTTACCACTGTTTCTATAAGAACAGCTGTGAAATGGCTGACAATATAGAAACTGTACATAGCTGTATCGAGGAGTTGGTGGATTTTGTAAGAGGTCACTTAACACTTACCACTAATATGATTCTGGTATTCTGATAAGTTGTTGAAGTTTTTTATATACATATATGTTTTCTTTGTAGTCTGGTTCAGGGTGAAGCTTCATACAAAAGATCCTAAACTGCAGTTTGAAAAAAAGAAGTTTGTAGCCTTTTGGTTAGAGCATTATGCCAGAAGAGAGCATGGGAAGCCTTTAACAGTGGTGTTTGACATGGCTGAAACTGGACTCAGTCACATAGTAAGCATTTTAATTATGATTTCTGTTTAGACTGTATAGCTTAATCGAGCAGGTCCTGTGCAGCACATTAGATCTAAATTATACAGCAAAGTCCTAGAATCTTGATCTCATAACTGCCCCCTTCTCCCAGGCAGTCATGGCAGATGGCTTTTACGCAGCCTGGTGGCAACTAAGGCTTTTTGTTCTGTATTTTCTCTTCCCCTTTTGAACTGAGGCAAAGGTTACTTCATTTACTGGGAGGAGGAAGAGCTACCACAGTCACACTTAACAGCAACTGTCTACCCTACTATACCCTGACTCACTATCTGCCACTGCATCCAAAAATGCCAAATTAGTATGTTAGATTGTTAGTATTTTTGTTGCCTGCAATGAAATGGCACCCACTTACAGCAGTTGTGAATTTGACCCATACAGCCTGCCTCTAGTTACTGACATCAGTCTGTAACTTTCAAGAGCCCCAAATTCACAAAATTATATTTACTAAAGGAGGGGGCTAAAACACACTTACTTAATGTTGAGCCTCTATTTGTAGTGTAGGAATATAAATGTGGCAAAGTATAGATGTTGGGTGTTCTGTAATTTGCTTATGGCCGTGATCTAAAGCTTCAAGTCCATAATGTTTTTTGCATTATACTGAAATGACTATCTATTTCAAGATGAAAATCATGAATTTCATTAAAAGTTTTTTTCATTTTAAAAGGTTGTTCTCCGATAATGTGTATTTCCAACTCAATCTTCAGGATTTCAATTTGCAAAAAGCTACAATGACTAGTTATAAATGATATTTCTTCTCTTGCGTCCTCTGCATATTCCCACCAATGGGGTGTGACAGCGGGGGCAGCCTAGATGTTGGAACCTTCTTGTAGCAGTATGCATTAGAGGGCTCATGTGTTCCTCCTGCCCTTTTCCCTCAGCATTCCTGAACGTTCCGAGGGGGCGTTTTGCTCCTTGCTGCCTCAGTTCTTTCCAACCACAGCAGCAGACAGATGTGAACGGATACAGTTCCCTTCCACTAAAAAAGATTTAGTGCTTTTTAGGGATAGTTTTACTATTAGGTATGGTTCGGATCTATTATAAGTTTAGATTGTTCGTTTAGGATAAATTTTGTTTTATACTTAAATCTTCTATTCTAACTACTGGTTGCATGCAGATCCAAATGTGAAAAGATCAGGTTTTAAAATGTACACATCATTTGCAGTGGTCTTCGTGGCATCAGATTGCTTGCACTCAATTCCTAGCATGCCTGGGTGAGCTTCACTCTCCTTTAAGATGTACGAACTGCAGCACCTTTACCCCATGAGCAAGAAAGAAATGTCAGAATAGGCTACAAGCCTTATTGTTACAAGCAGCTCTGGCTGCAACTCCTGTCTGTTCGAACTCTTCTGAAGGGTCTGAGACTAAGAACAGGAGGCCAGTGTCAACTCTAGATACTTGCAGATCTAAGCAGAAAACAGTTCAGCACAAGACACAAAACTCCTGATCCAAAGCGATCATGTTGTTGATACTAAAATCAGCAGATCCAACATCTACATACTTACTACCGCCACTGGTGGTGGCCTTGTACATAAGAGCCAAACCATGTGAGCGCATCGGCTCTGAATACCCTGGCTCCATTGCATGTGACAAAGCTGGAGATTCTTCACATCTCTTGGAGCAGGATCAAATCTAATAGATACACATGTAACAAGAGTAAAAGCTCTCAGGATAATTTTTGCCCATTCCTTGCTTCAGAGGGTTCCATTGGATTTGAAGAAGCTTTTGGAACCGTTGTTGTCAGTTTGTCTGGGTCCTTTGGTCACGCTTGTGAAGCAAGTGCACATGGAGAAAGAAGAGAGAGACTCCTGTGAGTCACCCTCTTCCTTCGCTGTCTATATAGAAGAATATTCTGTTAGAGGGCTGGATATTTATCTGAAGAGGAAGCCGCCTGTGGTACAAATGGAATATCAGCAGCTAGACCCAGAATTTGATTAATTCTTCTCCTGATGAGAATGTCGGTATAGCTTACAGATTTTCCTAAATAGAATGGTGCCTACGTTAAAGCTCTTATCAGTTACCTTAGAGGAGACTTTTCACCAAGTCTTTGATATTCTCAGCTCTAACTTTGAGTAAAGTCTCTGTGCCAATTTTAGATGGTCTCTGGCAACCAGCAGAATCTATCTGATCTAATCGTGCTTCTTGTCAACTGCTCTCAAAAATGCTGATAAGCTATATCAAATTCCATATGAAAGATTATCTTGCTTCCATATTCTTCCTACTCATAATTTATTGGTAGTAGTTGCAGTGACCAACAGGTCAAGAGGTGGACATTTGCATTCTACGGCCTCTGACAAGGAAGGCAGGAATTTGGAGTTGGTGGGGAGGAAAATGATTGTTTCTTTCCTCACCCTCAGGATGAGAGTGGCAAATTACCAGGCAGTGACGTTGCGGTATCATCAACATTTTGTCCCATAAGTGGTACTGTTTGCAAAGACACTTTCTGAAGACCAGTGCAATATAGTAATTACATTAATACAGATGGATGGAGGGTAGTATAACACACAGTATCCTTTGATGTTTTTGACTTGGTTGTAAGATCGATTGCAGTAGCAATCACATGGTTATGATCTTCCATTCTCCCGCCAGAGACAAAATCTAAAATAGTGCATCTGTTTTGAAGGAGATGGCCTGTTTAATAATAGGAAAGATAAAAATTTGGAGAGAATGAAGGATAAGAATCTTACAACCAAGATCAGTGTGTCTTTTTCAGTCTTGGAGGAAGAATTCCATGACCTGTGTTCAGGTACAATTGAAAGCTTTATACACCATCCTCCTTGTCCTCTTAGGCTCAGAGACATCACTCATGCCATCACAAAGCTTCCTTCGCCTACGTCTGCTGAATGTCAAGCCTGAAGTTTGATAGGAGGATCAAAAGCTGCAAACAAATTGATAACATACTCACCTCCCTACCCTTTGGAAAACTGGTTTTCTTAATTCCTTGATTCATACAGTTTCATCAGTTTGGACAAATGGGTTTTGAGGATAATAAAAAAGTGTTTATGCCCAAGTTTGAAACCTATTCTCCTTGAAAGATCTCCTCCTTTCGTCTCCCCTGCCCCTTTTTCAATATTCAGGGATTTCTCCCTCAACAGTGTGCTAAGATCAGAAATCCAGTATCTGATTCAGGCAGGAGCAATAGAGGAGGTTCCAAGGGAGTTCAGAAATCAGGGATTTTACTCAAACTATTTCACTAATACCAAAGAAGGATGGAGGTTCATCTGATATTACATGTGAGGAAGCTCCACACTTAAGTCAGGAAGTTCTGGTTCTGTATGTTGACTGTAGCCTCATGTTATCCTTCCCTTTCAGCCCTAAATTGGTTTGTAGCTCTCAATCTAAAGGATACATATTTCTAGAAGATCAAATCACTGCAAATATCTCTACTATTGATCATGACTATCTTCAATACAAGGTCTTAACTTTTGGCCTTTCTACCACTTGTAGGGGTTTTTACTAAGTTCCTCTTTGTAGTAGGAGCTTGTCTTGAGACAATAGGGTATTTTTGTCTCCCGATACTTAGACAATTGGTTTCTTAAAGCCTCATCAAAGGAGAGCCTTATAAGGGACATACACATTAGATTTTCCCTTTTGGAAGGTTACGACTCTTGATAGATATGGAAAAAAAAACCTTCTCTTTCCTAGTCAAAGATTCCATTCATAGGAGCAGTCCTTGACTCACAAGTAGGCAGAGCATTCCTGTCAATAGAGAGCTTTCTGAAACTACTCTCTACCATATGGCTATTACATCAAAATCCTTCTCAAAAGATCACTTTCTTTCTGCATCTGTTGGGTCTTATGCTCTTGCAACATGCATCGCAACTTATTCCACACTCAGAAAGAGGCCTGTTCAGCATTGGGATGATACAGAACTATGACATACCCAAAGATGACATTTTTCAGGAGGATTTCTATCCCTAAAGAAATTCTTTCATCTCCTGTCACAGTGGACCTACCCAGAGAATGTTCTGAAAGAGGCATGTTTCAATCCCCCAACTCCTTAATTGAAAATCACTTTGGAAGCTTCAAAGACTGATGAGGGAGTGCAACTTGACTATCTCTTAGTTCGGGACCATTGGAGTTACCAAGAAAAGATATTACATATGAGGGTACAGTAATTGAGAACTATCTGTTTAGCTCTCAAATCATTACTACCTCACATCCAGAACAAAGCAATTCAAGTCATAATGGGCAACAAGACAGCAATATATTAACTGAAGAAGCAGGGAGGAGCTCACTTGTTTCAACTGTACAAGGAGATGATCAAGTTATGGGACTGCTGTGTCCACTTCAACATCTACCCAATTGCCTTGCTCTTAGCAGGCAAGGAAGTGACAAAGCTGGCCAACTCAGCAGAGATCTGATGCAGGTGCATTAATGGTCTCTAAAGGACTCAGTAATGTAGGATGTATTGAATGTTTTTGAGGTTTCTGGACATAAGTCTCTTTGCCACAGGCAGAACAAGAAGTGCCCTCTTTTCCAATTGAGAGACGGGAGAGACATTCTCCCAATGTCGGATGTGTTCCTTCTGAATTGGTGGATGGGCCTGTTATGTGTTTTCTCCTCTTTTACACTTTTTTATACAGAGGGTTTTACAAAAATAAGATGTGAGTGGGCCAGGATAATCTCAGTTGCTCCTTCATGTGAGAGACAACAGTAATATACAGACCTTCATCAATTCTCCAAGGGGATCTACATACTTATGCCAGTGATGCCAGGCATACTTCTGCAACAGGACAGGAGGATTTATCACCCGAAGCCTCTTTCGCTACATCTAGTTCCATTGGCTTTAACAGATGTTGAAATATCTTGCACTTTAGACGTGCAGCAAATGTTATGAACATAAGTGATGTAGATTTGTGAAGTGGGTAGCTGGAAAAACATATAAATCCTGTACAGGCACTAATTCATTGTATCCTTGAACATTTACTGCATTCAAAGTCTTTAGACCTGTAGCTACCTTCTCTGAATGCATTTAGCTGCAGTAGCAGCCTATCACATAATTATAGTTTTAAAAAAAAAAAATTCTTGGCACGTGACACAATTAAAAAAATGTATTGACCAGTAAAGGACACTGTTTTAGTTTGGTCCTGACACAGCTCATGAGCCCTCCTTTGGAACTAATAGCAGATTGCTCTTTATCTTTATGAAACATAGTAAATGGTGAGTCTGTCATGGGACATACAACTTGCTAATCCATCTTGCTGATGTAATGGCTATCATAAAAGCTGTTTTAACAGACCAATAAAATAAAGTTGTACTTGGACCTCATCCTAGATTCCTTCCTAAAGTGGTTGTTGAGTTTCATATTAATCAATCAGTCAGTATGCTGGTTCTCTTTCTGAGACCTCGTGCTCATAAAACATAATCCAAACTACATACTTTAAATGCTATAAAAGTACCTTAGCTTACTATCTAAATAGAACAAGAAAATTTTGACACTCTCCTAAAACTTTTTATATCTTATGCTAAAAGCCATAGAGGTCAGGATATTTCTGCTCAGTTGTTATCTAGAGGCTGAGATAGTGAACAGAACAGAGATATAATCAGAAATCATCAGTTCCTCTTTCTGCTGGAGTTAGGCCATACTCAACTAGAGCAATATCTACCTCTATAGGGACATGTTCCCATTGTTGAGCTCTGTTCAGACCTTTACAAAACACTATTAATTGGATTTGACATCTGAGTCAAATGCTCCATTCGGTAGGGCACTTCTGTATTTACTTAATTAGACCCTCAAGTCCTACTACCCAGTCAGGCATACTGCTTACTAAAGTATCCCATGCGTGGCAATGTGCAGAGTACATATGAAGAAGAAATGGAGGTTGCTTACATTTTTAACCAGAATTCTTTGGGATGGACTCTGCATATTAACACTCTTGACCCACCTTCCCCTTTTCTTCAGAGTCCTAATAAGATATTAACGCTGCAGAAGCTGTGAAAGGACTGAGGTGGCAGGAAGCACCTTGCCCTTGGAATGCTCAGGAATGGTGAGGGGAGGGACCAGGAGTGCTCTAACAGGCACTGCAAAAAGTAGATTTCACCATTGCATCTGCACCAGCCAGTGCATCTCATGAGTGTGAATGTTCATCTTGAAGAACTCTGGTTGCAAGTAAGTAATCTCCATTTGGCTCTGCTTCATAAGCTATGAAGATTGATTTTATTTATTTATTCATTTTTTTAGTTGCAATGTGCCTCAAGTATGTACCTGTTTTAACAAAAAAAATTCTGAGTTCTGTTGGGGTTGTGAATTTTCAGCAGTGACCAGATAGTGTTAATTCCTTAATCTTTTGCAGAACTATGATTGTTCATAGAATTTTAAATGTTAATTTTTGTCTCAAAATATTAGTGAACTATGATTTCATTAGAAATCAAGACAAACAGAACTAAAAACCCCTGATAAAAGGCAAAATTTTCTTATCCCTAAACGTTTTACCTCCAATGTACAGAACGTATGTAATTTGCTTGTCTTACTTCAGTGCAAGTCATTGCTTGTACTATGTAAGAAAGGCTTAGCACATTGCCATTTAGAGACAGAGGTTTATTTCTTCTGTTAGTCTGTAGTTCTTAGAAAATCTCTTGTTCCTTTCCTGAGACCCCAGTTCTTCAAAGACTTAATACATGTGCTTAACTTTATGCACTGCGAGTAGTCTTAGTGAAGTCACTAGAACTACTTTCAGCTTACAGAGTTAAGCATGTGTATAAATCTTTGCAGGATCATGGCCTTGCATTGCATTGGAAGTTGGGGTAGTGTTTGAAATTTAGTATACTGTATATACCCTGTGTACATTTATTATGTTTTTCTTTAATTGTGAACTTATCTCAGAAATTTTTTATTACAAAAGTCAGTTTTTATCTAATTTGTTTTTAAATTATAATTTCTACTGCATTTATTATTAATTTGCCTTTATTTTAGGACTTGGACTTCATTCGGTTCATCATCAACTGTTTTAAAGTTTATTATCCTAATTACCTCTGTAAGTAATGTATATTATCCTTTCTAAGGGGATACAATTTTATAGACATTGTATTATCCAATGTTGTTTTACTATATAAATATTTATAACTGATAAGGAGAGAGGGTTTTTTTTTTTTTTTAAAGGTTTGTAAATATTACTTTTTGCATGTGTGGACTGCAAAGGTAAAACCAAAATAAAGTCAAGAAATATGTGTTTGACATGCCCCTCCTGTATATCACATGATAGAACTTCTCCCAAATAATACCTAGAGCATATCTTTTGGAAGAACATCCAATCTTTGTTTAAAAATTGTCAGTGATGGGAGAACCCATCACAATCATTGGTAAATTGTTCCAATGGTTAATTAATCTCACATTTAAAAATTGACACCTTATTTCCAGTCTGGACTTGGCTAGCTTCAACTTCCAGCCATTGGATCACATTATATCTTTCTCTGGTAGACTGACGTGTGCATTATTAAATATTCGTTTCCTCATGTAGGAATTTACAGAATGTGATTCAGTCACCCATAACTTTTTCTTTGTTAAATAGCTAAATAGCTGTAGCTCCTTGAGTCTATCATAAGGCAGGTTTTCTAATCCTTTAATCCAAGGGTTCTCAAACTGGGGGTCGGGACCCCTCAGGGGGTCATGAGGTTATTACATGGGGGTCGCGAGCTGTCAGCCTCTACCCCAAACCCCGCTTCACTTCCAGCATTTGTAATAGTGTTAAATTAAAAACACTTCTTTTTATATTTATAAAGGGGGGTCACGCTCAGAGGCTTTCTGCGTGAAAGGGGTCACCAGTATAAAAGTTTGAGAACCACCGTTTTAATCTTTCTGGGCTCTTCTCTGAACCCTCTCAATTTTTTAACATCCTTCTTGAACTGTGGGCACCAGAACTGAGCACAGTGTTCCAGCAGTGGTCACACCAGTGCCAAATACAGCGGTAAAATAGCCTCTCGGCTCCAACTTGATATCCTCCTGTTTATGCATCCAAGAATCCCATTAGCCCTCTCGGCCACAGCATTGCACTGGGAGCTCATGTTCAGCTGATTGTCCACCATGACCCCCAATTCTTTTTCAGAGTCAATATTATAGTTGTGTTGTTGCCCTCCTTTCTTTGTCCATTTCTGTCCCTTTCCTCTTCAGTTTCATTGTTTGGCCAAAAGTTGGAAGATACTGCTATGACAATTGCCACTCTGTAACAGCCAAGAGGCTAAAGATTGAGTGGAAATGGACTCTCCCCATTATCTCAGAGATGATCCCTCCATGACAGAGTTGAGGCATATTGGTGGGGCTGTATGGGGGGAAAACTTGCACATTGTCCATGTTAATCTTCATTATGAATAGATACAAAGCTTCAGCCAATACTGTCATTTTTCTCTTCCACGACTTCTAAATTCTTTTTTTTTTTTTCAAGTGAAAATGTAGCTATGAACGTTTTAAAGTTTAGCTGTTTGAGTGGCATTTTATTTCTTAAAATAGAAGGTACCATTCTGTTATAGTTGCTAGTATTTTGAACTGTTAAAAATTAGTGTTGTAATTTCACACAATGATAAAGTTATTACAATAAAGGTGCATATTATTTGCATCTTTTATCTGCCATGGCGGGGAGGGATAGCTCAGTGGTTTGAGCACTGGCCTGCTAAACCCAGGGTTGTGAGTTCAGTCGTTGAGGGGGCCATTTAGGGATCTGGCGAAATCAGTACTTGGTCCTGCTAGTGAAGGCAGGGGACTGGACTCGATGACCTTTCAGGGTCCCTTCCAGTTCTATGAGATAGGTATATCTCCATATATTATATTATTTAATACAGTAATTTAAATGAATTCTTTGAATTCAGGATGTGGGTAACTATTCTGACTCTTTTGGGATAATTTTGCCTTTTTTTGTATACCAAAACAATACATGCCTTAGTTTCCAATGGGCTTCCTAATACTTCTGTTCATCTTACCATAGGGATAGTTTTGTATACGTTGATTATTATTTGACAAATGGAGGAAAGCTAATTTTTTCCTAAAGAAAGTAAGCATGGAAATTGAGTGTTCTGCTTTTAATAATCCTCTAATATTAACGCTTTCTCCCCTTCTTTTTTTTGTTAATATATAATATCTTTCATTTCAATTATCTCTTTTTCCTATTGTCTTTACAGCAAAGATAGTGATCTTTGAAATGCCATGGATAATGAATGGTAAGTTAAAGTAAACTAAAAATATTTGTAATTTTCTGTAATAAGTTTAAAAAGCCCTGTTCTGATATATTAATTCAAACATAAACTGATTTTTGGAGGGGGGGGGGTTATAAAATGTTTTTAATGTTGTGGGGTGTGTGTGTGTGTGTGTGTGTGTGTGTGTGTGTGTATATATATAGAAATATATAATTAATGCATAGGCCAAATTCTTCTTTTAGTTAAGCACATGGTACTTGACATTTGTCAATTATTAGGGCATTGAATGCTTTAGTGTGCAGCTTCCTGGCATGTTGTGCTGTGACTCAAAGATTAAATAAATAGTCTTATTCAAAGTGCAGATCAAGACCTGCATCCACCTCCGCCACGTTCATATCTTGGAAGCCCTTAATATGCAGATTACTTCTTGAAGCATCCATTTTCTTGGTTTCCTGAACCCCAATCCACTCCAGGTCCAGACTTGCTAGGCTTGGTAAATGTTTTTCTGCTATGGCGAAATCCAAATAGTGCGTTATGCTGGTTAGGGTATATGCATGACATTGATAATTGCCATATATATCTATGCTGATACACCTCTACCTCGATATAACGCTGTCCTCGGGAGCCAAAAAATCTTACCGCGTTATAGGTGAAACCGCTTTATATTGAACTTGCTTTGATCCACCGGAGTGCGCAGCCCTGCCCCCCGGAGCACTGCTTTACCGCGTTCTATCTGACTTCATGTTATATCGGGTGGCGTTATATCGAGATAGCGGTGTACGTGTACACCAGTAATCAGCCTAGTCAACAAACTGGGTAGACGTGTTTTATTCCTCTATATTGCACATGCGCACATAGCTATAAAAATTACCCTTTTGCTGCATGTGCACAGTCCATCTCTATTAAGACTCTTTTAGTTTTACATTAAGCAGGTTAAAACTGCTACCATTTAAAACAACAAACCTGCCCGAGAAATGCTTCATTCTCCCAACTCTTCTCCCACCCAAAATTGGGAACTTACCCACTTCTCCCTCCACCTTCCCTTTCCTCTCCAAAATAAATTACTGGTCTGATATTCAAGAGGACTAAATATTTAGTCTTTGATCTGTCACTGCTTCAGTTCATAGCTTGATGAGGTCTTGGGAAGGATGTAAGTAATCATGTTAGTGTCTGGGTCATGGAATTTGAGCCAGCTTGCTTTAGGTTCATAGAGGACATTTCCAGCAATCCTCAGGAGCAAATTACCATCAGACACCGAAAGTCTTGCGGAATTCTCCAGAAGCCTCACTTCTTCCCCTATTTCAGCCACCTTTGCAAAAACCGGTGTTGCACTCTAGGCAAATTTGAGGATACAGTGGAGAATTCCAAACCAGCTATAGAGGATGAAGATCCTCTTTTTACCCTACTACTTTGGGATTGTTTGTTGCATTTTTTTTTCATGTGTAGCATATGTCCTGATGCTACTTTTGAACTGTGCTACTTTTTCCAGTAAGAAACCATGCCAAATACCATTCCTCCTTTCCTTTTCAGAGATCCCTTTCATAAGCAGAGGTCCTGGCCTTTACCTAGGGTAGAGCTGCTGCATGAAGTTCAGTACACCCCTTCACAAGTCACTATGCCCTTGACAAGACTAGATGCTTATTTTCAGTGAACAGTACTTCAGTTGCTGTTCAAGGAGCTAGTCTCCTGCAGTGGGGCACTGGGGAAACAATGTTACAAACTGACTACTTACCAACAATAACTTTTGTTGCCCAAATATATTGCCTTCACCGAGCCTCTTCTCAGTTTTGGAGCACACATCCAAATGAGGTTTCTAGGTGTAGAGGGGTACTGCTTTGGGAAGTGGGGTGGGGCAGGCACACAGGGTATTTATATTCTTTTTTTTATACCGCAAAATCCTGGTACGTGCATGTGCTCTTTGCCTAGTGGGACGTTTTATAACGGGTAAAGAAACCCTAGCTGGATATCTAGCTATTTCACTGAATTCCGTACTTAGCCTAATATTTTATGAGCATTTATTTACATGCTATCAATGGCAGATAAAACTGCAGTATTTGTTTCAGGCAGTTTATGTATTATTATTTTTTTGTCTAGCTGCTTTTAAAATTGTGAAGGGTTGGCTTGGTCCAGATGCGATAAGCATGTTGAAGTTTGCAAACAAGAATGAAGTGCAGGAATACATCAGTGCAGAGTATCTGCCTGCCTACATGGGTGGAATTGTAAGTATATTGAAATTTTAAAATACCTTGTAATGATTAATATCTTCATGCAATTTTTGAGTGCATATAAATTGCACGATTACACACTGTAGTAGAGCCAGCTAGCATTTTTCAGATAAGTATCTGAGTGTCCATTTGATAATAATAAACTTACAAATTAACTGTTAATGATTTAAGTTCTATTAAAAATCTCAACTGATGATTTTCAAATTTTTGTATGTTAGTTTTAAAAAAGTTTTCATAGCTCTTTTTGTAAGGTAGGAAGTAATTCTGCAACCCTAATTTAGTGACTTCATTTTGGGAATTTTAATAGTGTGAATAGGAAAAAGGGGGTTTTGAGGGCATACAACTGCTGTTTCTCACATCCCTCCAAAGCCATGATTGAATGAAGACCCTCCAATCCTTTCTCTGGCCTTCTGCCCTTTCTAGCTCCTTCTGTTGCCCCTCATCTCAAGTGTCCTAAAACCCCTGGCGTACTTGGCAACTTCTTTAAAAGGAAGGTAAAGCCCAACTGGTTATACTGCACTCCAGTACTGTATTATTGTCAGCTTTTACACACCCCTATTTATCACATTATAGTGCAGTCTAAATGCTGATGCAGGATAAGCAACTTGTGTAAGGGGCATAAATTTGTCACCAAGCTAATAAAAGTATACCTCTACCTCGATATAACGCTGTCCTCAGTAGCCAAAAAAATCTTACCGCGTTATAGGTGAAACCGCGTTATATCGAACTTGCTTTGATCCACCGGAGTGCGCAGCCCTGCCCCGCCGGAGCACTGCTTATTCGTGTTATATCGGGTTGCGTTATATCGAGGTAGCGGTGTAATTAATTCTGTGATTTCCTATCCTTTTCCCTTAAACTTTGTAACTTTCCTTTAATAATTTTTTTAATCCCAAGCAGGGTAAAAGTAATACCACTGCCATAGAGGGAGATGGCATCACCTTTTCTCTCTGCAGAAGAGATGGAGATAGGCAATGACAATCTGCCTTCCCCTCTGCAACATATATTTGAATATTAATACGCCAATAAAGAAAAACACACCAGAGGGTTATCTGAGGGACCCTCTTGAGACAAGATAGCTGCTGGAATGAGGTGTGGGGGTTCTGTTCCTTGGATTCAAGGGTATGGAAGTATGAGGGACTCGCTTTCCTAAACTCCTGCAGGGGCAGGATGTCTCTCTGGATCCTCTTCTCAGTACCTGCAAGAAACATCCAAAAGGAATCATTTCCCAAGGAGTGAGAAGTAGTAGCTGCCCAGAGATTGAAGAGGGGTGGTTGAGTGTTTTCTGGGTGCTGAGGGAGATGCTGAAACTGAGAGTGTGTAGAAAGTGACGATTCTGCTGTCATCTGCTTCCCATATCTCTCTCCCCTGGCATACGTGGGTAAAAAGGCTTGCTGCTACATAGGAATTCTGGTGGTCAGCATCAACAGGGGTGGGGAAATCATAATGATGAACCATAGCATTTCATTTACATTTTGAAGGCTTCATTGTTTAAAAGCTTGGGACCTTATTTAATTGAAATCTTGATTGCAGTGTCTTTTTAAACAAATTTTGTTAAATCATAAATAAAATACGTGCCACAGTCACAAAACAAAACAGTGGTAAGCAGTTAGTGAGGAAATCCTCTAAACTTATATCATTTTTGTTCAGAACTGTCCTACATACTAGTTCTCTGGAAAGATCAAAGCATAACGAATTTGAACGTTTAAAATCAAGTCATGTATTAGTCCTTGCTTCCCAAAAACTTTCTCTTTCATTGGAATTGGCTACTCTTACATGTTTGGAAGCTATTTGTTTCCACCTCTTCCAAGTCTTTGAAGCAGAGCAAGAGGAACCTCTGAAACTTTTTTGAGCAGCCTGCCTTTAAGTACCTTCTGGTGGCTCTTGAACCTGTGGTTCACAGGAATCTATGAACTGGGGAAATTGACCCAAAAAATCAGTTCAACCAGTGTTAAAATTGGTTGGAGGTGCAGTGTAGGTGAAATCCCATGACTGACCCTGTTTTTACCACCATTTGAACCAGTATGAACTTCTTAATAAATTTCCTCAACATAGACATGGCCTAGATGTGTTCAACATGGTGTTTAGATTAGTACACTTTCCCAGCCTTCTTTCTACTTTTTAAAAATTATCCACCATAATCAAGGCTACGTTTATGTCACGGAGGTCATGGAAGTCACAGAATCTGTGACTTTCTGAGACCTCGGTGACATTCTCTGCTTCAGCCCCAGGGGCTGTGGGACTCTGGAGCTGGTAGTCAGCAGGGCCCTGGCAGGGTTCCAGCGACAGGTGACAGACTCCTGAGGGGGCCCTTCTCAGAGTTCTAGCGACGGGTGACAGCCTTGTGCAGGGAGAGGGGGATGCCTTGGGCAAGCACTGGGGGTGCCCTGTTTTTTCTTTGGGAAATATTGTCACCCTGCAGCTCCCAGCCGCCGAGGACGGGGGGGAAAGGGGAGGGGTGGCAGCTTCCAGCTGCTCCAGGCAGAGGGGAAACCCCACAGCTCCCAGCCACCAAGGTGGCGGGGGGAGGGATAGCTCTCGGGGGAGGAATAGCTCAGTGGTTTGAGCATTGGCCTGCTAAACCCAGGGTTGTCAGTTCAATCCTTGAGGGGGCCACTTAGGGATCTGGGGCAAAAATGAGTACTTGGTCCTGCTAAGGAAGGCAGGGGGCTGGACTCAATGACTTTTCGGGGTCCCTTCAAGTTCTATGAGATAGGTATATCTCCATATATTAAACCACAGAGATGCAGCAGCAAAAGACACAGACAGGTCACAGCTTCTGTGAATTTTTGTTTATTGCCCATGACCTGTCCCTGACTTTTACTAAAAATAACCATTACAAAATCTTAGCCTTAACTATAATCCATGTATAGTGTGTGTGATATGGACTAAAAGCCTGTATTAAAATAGGTAATGCACATGTATAATGCTAGTTCTTTAAACATTAATAAATAGGCTGTTTTATTTTTTACAAATCCAAATCATGGACTAACTGTCTACATGATTTTTTTTAAAACCAAAGCTGTTATAAAGTTACAGAAGTACAAAAAACATCTGAAGAGCCACTGTTTTTTCTTATTTTGTTTTAAGTTTGCCTCCGTGTAATGTAGAAACAAAATTTGGTTTAATTCTCCCCCGCAACCCTCCTAAGATTTTTCAATACCAAATTTCAACTCAGAACAAATTCTGCAATCTCTTTAGGAATATGTAAACATTGCCACTAGCTATAAATTAGTGGCTGTGTTAGATGATTATCATATTTGATTATTATATAGGGCAAAACCCAACATCAACTTTTTGCCCATGGGTCGAATGGAACTTAAAATGTATAAATGAAATATGTAAAAGGACTAAAAAAAAATCCTGATAAGATCTGTATTTTAATTATGCTAGTGAAATCACTTTTCCTTCCTTTTGATACACACGTGAATTAAATACCCTTGTATTTTAGGATACTTTCAAGTACAGTTACCCTCCATTGGTTGATGATGATTTTCAAACTCCATTATGTGAAAATGGACCTATTACTACTGAAGATGAAACTGAAAGTAAAGAGGAGGTGGAAGCAGACAGCAAGGAGGCTGGAGAATCCAGTGAAGAGCAAATTCTCAATGTGAAAAAGGTATCCATTAACTCTAAAGGCTAAGAAGGAACGAAAATATGAAAAGTTGGACATGGTTTATTTTTTATGGCAGATTTTTTACAGTCTGTTGTAGTTGGATGTCTTTGCCACTTACAGTGAAAACCCAGTAAAACCCTAAAGACTAGCTTCACTATCATGGATGGATTACAGTACACACACAAAAATCTAGTATCTGTTTTATTCTGGTATTGCTCCATTAAATGTACAATGTGAAAATTTTAAAAAAATATTTTAACTTTATCCCTAAAAAGTTAGGTTTCTCTAGAGTTATAGTCAGTTTTTTATACTTCCCTCGGGGCAACCATTGTATTGATTTTTAATACCAGATATCTAGTTTTCTCAATAGATGTTTTAATCAGCTCCTGAGGAGAGGGAATACTAAATAAACAATTGAAAACATGCTATTGAGAGCTACTGTCTAGAGCAGTATTATGTTTTTATTTATCTTATTAGTTACACAAACTCCAGTTAATCTTGATATGGTCACAAAACAAAGTAAAGCCCTGAATCCTGCAATCTGATCTATGTGGCTGTAACCTTACACCTGTGCAGAATTCATTCCAGTATCGGGGGGCAAGGAATACATAGTGAGTGCCTATGGGAAATGTAAACTTTGTCCATTAGTATTGTTCTTGAAAAATAGCTACTATAGTCCAAAATCTGGAATTCACTGTTGTTGCCATAACTTCTGAATCAGAATATGAATTTACTAATTTCTTGTATCGTGTATGTTTAATATTCTTAATTTTATAGTACAAAAATTTTCAGTTTGAATTAGTATTTTAATATTTGGTCAGATTTTGAAACATATGGAGCAATTTCTTTTTTAATTAAGGTATTTTTAAAACTTGGCCAGCCAAATTAATAAGGGAGATTCATAGAATTTAAGGTCTGAAGGAACCATTAGATCATCTACTCTGACTTCCTCTCTATCACAGGCCCTTAAATGTAGTCCAGTTATCCCTGTGTTGAGCCCAGTAACTTGTGTTTGGCTTAAAACATATCTTCCAGAAAGACATCCAGTCTTGATTTGAAGATGGCAAGAGTTGAAGAATCCACCGCTTCCCTTGGTAGATTGTGTTCCAGTGGTCAATTACCCTCATGTTAAAAAATATGTGCCTAATTTCTAATTTGAATTTGTCTGGTGTCAGCTTTCAGCCATTGATTCTTGTTATGCCTTTCTCTACTAGATTAGAATCCTTTAATACCTGACATTTTGTCCCCATTGTAATCAAGTGATCTGTCTTCTTCTTGATAAGTGAGGCTGCACTCTTTAAGTCTCTCGCTTTGTCATTTTCTCCAGCCTCCCAATCATTTTTGTGGCTCTTTTCTGCCCACTCTCAAATTTTTCAACATCCTTTTTAAAACATGGACACTGAAACTATATGCAGTATTCAAATATTGGTCTCACAAATGCAGTATACAGAGGTAAAATTACTTCCCTACTCCTGCTCACTTGTTCCGTTGTTTATGTATCCAAGGATCACTTTAGTCCATTTTGCCAACGCACTGGGAGGTCATATATAGTTGCTTGTCCACTGTGACCCCTAAATCCTTTTTTGCAGAGTCACTGCTTTCCAGGACACAGTCCCCTATTCTGTAGGTATGTCCTGCATTCTTTATTCCTAGATCTGTAACTTTACATTCAGATGTGTTAAAAATGCATTTTGTTCAAATGGGCCGAGTCTACCAGTTGATACAGGTTGGTTGATTGTCTGACTATCTTCTCCTTATTATTTACCACTCCACCAATCTTTGTCATCTGCATATTTTATCAGCAATACCTTTCTATTTACTTCCAGACCATTAGTGAAAATGTTGACTAGCATCAGACCTAGTACTAGTCTTTGTAGAACCCTACTAAAAACAGACACTACTTCCACAGCCAGTTCTTAATCCATTTAATGTATACTCTACGGATATTTTATAATGTTCATTTTTTAGTTAGAATGTTGTATGGTACTAAATCAAATGTCTTGCAAAAGTCTATGTATATTACCTTTATCAACCAAACTTGTAATCTCAAAGAATGAAATCTGGTTTGTTTGACAGGACCTGTTTTCCATAAAATCCCGTTGACTGGCATTAATCATATTAATATCCTTTATCAATTCAATGTCCTATCAGCTTTTCTATTATTTTACTAAGGATTTATGTCAATCTAACCTGCTGATAGTTACCTGGGTCATTCTGCTGACTTTGTTTGAATATTGGCACTAGATTCACCACTTCTTTAATCTTCTGGAATTTCCCCAGTATTCCAAAGTTTAATAAAAAATTAACATCAGCAGGCCAGAGATCTTCTCAGCCAACTCTTTTAGAACTCTTCAGAGCAAGTTATTCGGGCCTGCTGATTTTAAAATGTTTATCCCTTGTAGATGATGTCAATATCCTCTTTGGTTACTAATGCACTGGAAATTACTTCATCATCCTCATATGATGGGAGTACATCATCCTGTTTCTTTCCAAATAAACAACAGAAATTTATTTTGAACACTTCTGTCTTTTGTGCATCATTAAGTTTTACCATCATCGTCTAGTAATGGAGCTATACGAAAAGGGTCAATTTGACCCCAGAATATGCAATTTTGATATTTTTGTACTTAGAAGTTATAATGTAATGGTATAACGGAACAGCTAACTTTTGAATCCTCCATTGAACCAAACCAGAGGCCTGTCCTGAGTTTCAGGCCACAGTTACCTGCAGATGAATTGTGGATGTTAGACTTGGTTTATTATCTTCTTCCTTTTTTGTGTAACTGAGTCTTTTCAGTTACTTTCAAAGAGAAACATATGGTTGTAAGGAAAGACATCACGTGGTCCTCATTTAACACCTTCAGCATTCCATTGTCTAAAGAAAGGTTAATTCACTCCTTCTTACTCCCCACCCCCAGCCCTTTTTTTTTTTTTTCTTAAATTCTTACTCTGACCCTTTGGATAATCTGTGATATTGAACTAATATGTTAACCAAATTGGAAAGTAAGATGTAGCCCAGCAGATGTTTAGGTTTAATCCTAAAATAAATATATTAATCCATCTCCTAAAAAGTTGCATACAAGCTCTCAAAAAGGCTGTAATTTAAGCTCCATACTGAGGTAAATACTGCTCCTGTTAGCTATGGAGAAGTAATAACATGATGCTACCAAGGAAGGATAAGACCATAAACTGTAGGATATCTGAACGTAAACGAACCTTCCAAATTTATTTCTGGAAAAATTCCTTATGTCTGAACCAACCAGACATCCTGGGGGCCATCTTTGTAAATTAAATACTTTCTGCTATACTTCCTTACATTTTTTTTTTAACATAAATGTTTTCCACCAAAGAGTCTCAGATTTTGAGATTAGAATTGCTACACAAATGTGTTCGCTATCCTGAGAATGGAACTATTGAAACCAAATAAGCCTTTATGTTAAGTTTCAAGGTGATAAACTTGAATTCCTTTCTTATAATAAAACCAACTTGTATAGAATGAAGTTTGTTATAATCCTTATATTTGTAAGTAAATATTCTTATCCCTTTAGGATTATACTCAAGTTATTAGCATAAGTGATTGTAAGTATGTGAATAAACATTTCAGCACTAGGAATGTTGTGCAAAGTTTGAGAATAAAAGTTGTGAATTAGACAATATTAGTTTTAGAAATAGATTTCTTGTTTGTTTTTACTACTGTTATCAAGTATAGTGCCTAGAATAGCTAAAATATTTTAATAGTTGGAAATTAGGATATTTTATAATGAACCTGGAAGTTGTTTAAAATTAGAATCAAATTGAGAATACCTTCCTACGCTTGAAAGATGGGATAAACTCTTCCCAAATTACAGCTAAGTGAAAGAAGAAAGAATAAACTTTAAAATTTCAAAATGAAGGAAAACTTCGTCACCAAATTACAACAAAATATAGGAAAATGTTATGGTGGTTCTTTCAAAAGTTTACAACTGAACGTTGACTTAATACAGCTTTTAAACTTTACTACACACAAGAAAAATGCTGCTTTTAACGATCTTAATTTAAATGAAATAAGCACAAAAACAGTTTCCTTACCTTGTCAAATCTTTTTTTAAACTTTTCCTTTATTTCTTTTAGTAGTTCTGTACTGTATTTGCACTGGTAGTATCAATAAACTGAATCCTTTTAGAGCTGGGCTAGCCCACCGTTACAGCTGAATGGAATATTAATGTATGAAAAGAGATGCTAAGTACAGTTGAGGAGTTTTTTGTCTTTAGGCAATCCCGAGGGTGAGTCTTCATTGAAAGGTCCAAAAGTCCTGAACACATCGCTTCAGTCCTGATTCAGATAAGTCTCCCTGCTTCCTGTGAGAAATGCTCAATTTTTGATTCCACTCTCCCAAGAGAGAGTGATTTTTCTTTAACCAGAATCCTTTATGAACAAGAACTTGGGTTTTGGACCTGAAAGTCCAAAGTCATAACTATAAGCAGCCTTGGGAAAGAGAGAGCTTTCCTAAAGAGCAAATATGCCAAGAAAAGATCACCACCGCACCAAAATACTCCTCTGATAACAGATGGCAGGGTATGATTTGACAATTAATATTTCTCTCTGAGATACCATAGGAATTTCTGTGCTTTGAAGGAAGTCAGAATTTGGCCTTGAAGAACAAAGGTATTGATTGTCTTTCTAGAATACTGAACTCTTCTGAAGTTCAGACCTTTGTTTCTTTAAATCCAGACCTTTGTGCTGATGGGATTTAAATATTGAAATATACCAAATTAATAAACTTAACTTCCATGGATGCTACTGAAGTACCTGATTCCAAATAAATATCAAGCAAGATTACACTAGGAACAGGAAAGAAAAGAGCACTGAAGTAGCCTTAACATTTGCAATCTTCTAAGAACCATAACTGGACTGTTACAGGAATTAAACCTAACACCTTGTAACTAAATTGCTATAGTGTTTGATTCAATTGTCTGTTTTTCATCTAGATAGCCCTGTAATGGTAGGAAGATATTATATTTGCA